AACTTTTACGCTAACTGAAACCACTAATTTCTAGAATCTGAATCAAGCTTTAAAGTCAATTTTTATCATACTTCAGAGCGCTGAGCAAGTGTATATGTATATTTCCGATTTCATTTTAACACAGACACCTCTATTACAATCTTTGACGTCCAAATAAACTTAATTTACTATAATAAAACTAAATATGATGATGGATACTATATGGTAATGATGAAATACTCTCATAAATTTTTAAAATATTTGTTTTGTTGCTTTATGACGTGAAATCATAACTCTGAATTGAAGGAAAAATATTTTTGACAGCTATTTTCACATAAAACTGCATATATATTCGTATCTACGTACTACAAAATTATAGATAATTTATCAATACACATGAATCAAACATATTTACATCACTTCAGAAATTCTGGTTCATAAATTTTATTTCTCATGCATCGAGGAAATCTAATCAATAGATATAAAAAGGAATAGAATTTGAAAACTAATACGACAAAATCGACTTTTTTGTCTTTTTTTGAATTGATAATCTACAGATAAACAATCAATGATTAAAAAAATTATTTGATTTACTGTTGTATAGGGGGGGGGGGAGTTATAACTCGTTATACGGTTTCAAGGCTTTGACAAAAGCAGAAGAGACGGTTTTACAGAGGTTAGTTTTCCATTTCCGATATCAGTCGTACCAAAGTTTACGGCTCGAATGGTTGTCGATCTTGGCGCACTCAGTGATGAGATGTTCTGGTATAGATAGTAGTTTTATACAAGTACTGACAAAAAGTTATTACTCTTCAAAACAGTTAAAACACATGTAGGTGGCGCCCCCTACAAATAGGAGTCATATTGACATCAAAATCAAATTTCTGACGTCAAAAAACTCCCAGACACCAATTTTCATCCTAATATTGACGTTACTTAATAAATTATTTGGAAAAAATCGAATTAAAAATGAAACTTCTACACCCTGTATCGCCGAAAATCGACATTTTAAGGCATGCATTTATACGAACTTTTTTACTTATTTTTATCTACAGAATACGCTGCCGAAGTTTCAGGATAGAGTTCGGACCACCCTGTATATGTATGTATAAATACTTACTAACACTAGCATCATATTTCCAGATAGAAAGAAAAATATTTTGACAGATTATTTACACGTAAAATATAATATTTATTTCCATACGTTATATACACAAAAATATATAAAGAATACTAAATTGGACATATACAGGGTGGCCCATCGAAAACGTTCCGCAAGGCATAACGGCCAGGATAATTTTTTTTCAGAAAATTCAAAAACACGTCAATTTTGTTTGTGAGGGGGACAACTTTTGCCCCAAAAATTATTGCAAAATCTTCAACCCTCTAAGCGGGGGTGTCATTCCCCGATTTTTTTCAAAAGGGAAGGGGGGTCAAGTGGTACCGCAATGAAAAGGGCTTTCTATTCTCTATACTTTTGCTTCATTTTTGAAGATCGGTCGAGTCGTTGGGAAAATATGAAGGATTGAAATTTGAAAAGTTTATTTAAACATTTATCAGAGTAAATGATAAGGATAAATTCCTTCGACCAATTTGCTGTTTTTTCTTATTATTTCTAGATGTTTGCAATCGGATTGCGCAGATATTCAATGAACGTCATCCTGACAAACATCTTTATGGCAAAATTGAATAAAAAGAGGCAGAGTTGCCATGGACAGTATTCTGAGTACAAGAACATTAGCCAATGAGACCCGCGGGAATCGTACAAGTTTCCAAAGGATATTAAAAAAACACAAGTTCCACCCGTACAAAATTCAGTTGGTGCAAGAACTCAACGAAGACGATTTTGATCGTTGCTTGCAATTTTGTGAAGCTATGAGTGAACGAGTGGCGAATGATAATAATTTCCTATTTAATGTGTATTTTTCGGATGAGTGTACTTTCTTTTTGAACAGTGTAGTTAATCGGCACAACTGTCGGTACTGGGCTGAGGACAACCCCAGGGTTTTTCACGAGGTGCACACACAAAACCCTCAGAAATTGAACGTGTGGGCTGGTATTTTTGGAAATTCTATTGTGGGTCAGTTTAACGATATTGAGAAGAACTTCAACGTACAAGTCACAGTACAGCTATCTAGCAACTACCGCACCTGATCGTTCAACGTTGTGGCAAGTGAAAAAATGCGTAAACATCTAGAAATAATAAGAAAAAACAGCAAGTTGGTCGAATTTATCCTTAATTATCATTTACACTGATAAATGCTTAAATAAACTTTTCAAATTTCAATCCTTCATATTTTCTCAATGACTCGACCGATTTTCAAAAACGAAGCGGGAAAATATAGAGAATAGAAAGCACTTTTCATTGCGGCGCAACTTGACCCCCCTTTCCATTTGAAAAAAGTTGGGGGATGACACCGCGGCTTAGAGGGTTGAATATTTTGCAATCATTTTTGGGGCAAAAGTTGTCCCCCTCACAAACAAAATTTTTCGATGGGTCACCCTGTATATTTATCATACTACTTTTTTATGGCATGATCTTTATCGGAACTTACTTTTCCTGAAGGAAAAACTATCTCTGTATACCGTCTATACCGTTTCTTATTTTTTTTTAATCATCTCCTTATAGATTCAATTTTCATTTTTACACTTTCCTTGTTTGCCGGAGAGTCTACATTTTACTTAGCATTTTGCTATCAATTTATTATAGATCTAGAGCTCAGATCTAATTTGTCATAGACAAGAAAAAAATGTTTCTATTTTACAGACAATCAGGGGACAAATTGAAGGAAGTGTCTATTATAGATACATTTTGCAGAGGAAAAAAATAATTTAATGATTTGTATCGATTAAAAAATTAATAATTAATTTTGATTTTACTTAATAATTAAAAGGATGTAAGCTTCATTCAGAACCTCGCAGTTAGTGGAATGAATTAGTGGTTTCAATTAGCGTAGAAGTTTGTTCCTTTAATTTCAATGTAAGCATTCAGAACATCAAAATTAGTGGTAGACATTTTCAATTAGTAGAAAAAGTTATCAAACTTTTAACTTTTCCACTAATTACACTTCAAAATTTGCGGAAAATGTCATTTTGGCCTTTGATTATCTTCCTTCAACAGAAATTGTGGTTAAAAATCAAAAGTTGATTGTTTATAAGCCAAATATTAGGCTTTCTATATGGATCCAACCAAAGATATTTAAATTCACAGAGTTTAAATATCTTTGGATACAACTGACTAATATAAAAAATATTGTGAATGATCCTAAACTAAAAAGTATAAAGTGTAATTGAAACTACTAATTTATTCGACTAATTGGGAGGGTGTGAATAAAGCTTTATTTTTCACACTTTAATTAAAAAATATTTTCATCTTGTAAAGACTATCCAGGGACATACTATACATTCAAGTTTACACAAAAAATTAATTAATTATTCATAGTTCAGCCAACTAAATAAAAATTATAATACTCATAACTTGGTAAAGTATTTCCAGATGGACAATAAAATATAATTTAAAATTTCCAATATATTTACCCAAAATAAAAAACACACAACTGGACGCAAGCTGCTCTCTGTCTCAACAACAGTCCTCCAGATACTCTACCTCTCGAGTTTCTCTATCTCTATCGGAACTTGGTCTTCCCGAAGGAAAAACGATCTCTGCCACGGTAACACTGGATGTGTCGACGCGATTCCGACGTTTCGACAACACTGCCGTCGCGGTGCCGCGTTCCTTCGAGCGTCCCGACGCCGGCCGCTCTCGTGGCTTCGGGAACATGCGCCGTTCCGGGAGAGCGCTCACGGGAAGCGGCCACGCTTTTCGCGGAACAGGTGAGATGGTTCTGGATGAGGCTGGGAGGAACGCGAGAAGCTGACAAGGTCGAGTAATTTGGCGAGTACCAGCAGTTAAATTCGATAAATAGAAGCAAATGGTTGGACATTTTGACATTTTTTTTCGGCATTTATTAATTTTTTCTTGAACACTTCATCAGTTACGATCTCTTTAATTCCAGCCTTTTGAACTGTTGAAATTCTTATTTTTCTAAAGCATCGGCAACTTGTTATACCGTGCGGTGCATTGGAACGCGGGACATAGGAAATGTCAAAAATTATCTCCCCAGGTGATTTTATGCAAAAATTGTATTAGACTTTTTGAAGAGGCGTTATTATGTACTGTTGTCTAAAATTTTGTTTTATTTGGAATAGGTATCTAAAAGTTATTCCGTCTTCTTAAGGTTACCTCCAGCCCCCACTTGTTATACTCTTCAATTAGTTTGCGGGTCATATATTCCAGGTCCTCGTAGTCTTGAGCTAGTATTATTTGATCATCAGCGAAACAAAGAGTGTAAAGTATCGAGTCGTTTAATGGCATCCCCATCTGTTCACACTTCCTTTTCCACGTTTTCAGAGCTTGTTCCAAATAGATTTTAAACAGTGTGGGCGATAGACAGCAGCCCTGTTTAAGACCTTTGTTTATGCTGAATCCCTTTGATACTGTTTGTCCTTTCTTTACTTGGCTAATGTTGTTCATATAAAGTTCTTGGACAGCCTTAATTAATGTTATGCTGATATTTGTTTTCTCGAGGGCTTCCCACAATTTAGACTGGGGTACACTATCATATGCTTTCTTGAGGTCTACGTAGAGGAGATGTATTTCTTGATTTCTTGCCATCTTTTTCTCAATTATCTGTGTTAGTGTAAATAAATGGTCGACCGTGGATCTACCAGCTCTAAATCCCGCTTGTTCTTCAGCCTCCATATCCCGGTATTCTTCCTCAATTCTCTTTTTGACCAATTTTCCATAGACCCTTGAAACAGAGCTCAGCACGGAGATTCCTCGATAGTTATCGTCTTACTTCCTTTCTTGTGTATTGTTGTTATATATGATGTCTTCCATTCTTTCGGTATATTTTCACTATTAAGGCACTTTTGGAAAAGACTAGCGAGCTGCTTATATAATTTATCCATGCCGTACTTGAGTAATTCTGGAGGTATTTCACCTGGACTAGGCGATTTTCTTATTTTTCAGGGTTTGGCAAATTTGTTTTACTTCTTTCGTATTGATCCTCAGTAGAGAAGCTGCGGTTCTTATTTGAATGTCGGATTGTGGCTGCGATGTTTGTTAGTATTCGGCCCTTTCTTCGGTCAACAGTTAAGCAAAGTATTCGTCCCATTTTTGGTAATGTAATTGGTGAGATGATATCTTTAGTCTTCTCTTTTCGAAGGGACCTTAATATTCTCCAGCTTTCGGTACTTCTACTACCTCCTATATATGTATTAATTATTGTGCCGTTTTTTTCCCAGCTTTTGTTTTTCTTTTTTGTTATAGCTATGAGTACAATTCTTTGTGCTGTTTTGTATTCATGCTTACTTTTGTTCGATTTTATATTTAAAAATTTGTTGTCCTTTTCTCGTTTAGCTTTTATCATTTCCTCAATTTCTTCATCCCACCAGTATGGTACTCTTCGTTTGGGTTTGGCGTATTTTCCCAAAGCTTCTTCTGATGCACTTCTCATGCAGTCTATAATATAATTGTACTGTTCTTCTGTACTTTCAAAATTTTCTTGTACAAGTTTTTCATCCAGTCGATTTTTGTATAAATCTTTCACGCTCTCGTGGTTGAAGCTATCTAAATTATATTTTACTTCTGTTGTCTTTTCTTCCTGTTCTCTTTCGTCTATTTTTTTTACCATTCGAAAGGGTAATATTTTGGACTTAACAAGATGATGGTCACTTCCACATGTCGCTCCTCTGTAGACTCGTACGTCTTGAATCTTTAACGCTGTATACTGTCGGATCACATAATCTATGACGGATTTCAAATTTCTAGAATGTTGTATCCAGGTGTACTTATGTATGAAGAACATAATCCTAGAACAACAGAACATAATCCTAGAACAGCAACAGCAAGAAATAAAACACTGCCAAAAATATAAATATCTTGGCATGCACATTACCAACGATGGTAGCCTTGATGAAGAAATGAAGTGCAGAAACAACCAGGGAAGACAAGCAATTAGACAACTAAACAGTATTTCATGGGATAAGGCCGTATCAAAAGAAAACAAACACAAAATTTATAACAGCATAGTTAAAAGTATCATTAGTTATGGTAGTGAAATATGGTGCCTTTGAAAGAAAGAAACCTTAAGTTACTCGAAGCTACAGAAATGGACTTTTGGAGGCGCGCGGCCGGAAAATCGCAACTGGATATCTAGAGTTAGAAATGAAAGAATTCAGAACATCATGGGCGTTAAACACCGAATATCAGAAGACATCAAAATTAACCAACTCAGCTGGTACGGGCACGTACAAAGAATGGAAGAGAACAGAAAGATCCTGTGGTCTTTTCCTACTGTATTCCCAATAAACGGGAACCAATGTTTTTCTTTTCTTCAACAGGAAGAATATTCAAGTCATTGTTTTTTTTTCCTGTTCAATTATTTTTTTTTCACACTTCCATGTGCTTAAACCTTAGTGCCTTTAGTTTCAAACCTCAGCACAGTGTAACGAAATCGGGAAATGCGGGACATTAGCCCAAAAAACAAAACAATTAATTCATCAAGTTTTTTATATAGATGGATAAAGGACATCCCAGAGCTCCACCATGTGAGATATTTCTTGAGTTGACCTCTTAGTCGGGGTGTTATGGCGGGTTAAAGTTATGGTTTCCTTAATTTACCAAATCTGTACAAAAATTTCATACAATGAAATTTATTATTTTAGAAGTTTCCTTGTGTTGTTCAATTCCAACAATTTTTTCCGTAAAGAGAGGTCTTTTACCAACAACAAACCTGAAAAAAAATGTCCCAATTTTTTTCAAGTTTAGTTTCTACATGTTTATTATGACTTCCAAAAAAACGCATACATTCGCGCAGGTTATATATAAAAATATCATAGAGTGAACCTTCTAGTATACTGTTACATATAAATTTCATCCACCTAGATCGAACCTGGAAGAAAAAATAAATTTCTTCGGCAATAATTACGTTTTCCACTGATTCGACCGTAGTTTGGTGACATGAAAGAGACAACAAAACTATTTGTTTCCCCTTTACGGTTGGTATTATATCCCTTCAAGCATTCATATGCTTTTGATTCATAGTGCAGATATCTGTGAACGTTTTCAATTTATACCCATCGGCAAAATGTCCGAAGAAGCATCTGAATCAAGAAACAAAGAATTTCGATCGTTCCATAAAAAATTTTTCCAGGAAGAGTGATCGTAAGAAACTATTGAAGATATATTGCACAACTTATTGATATATTCAGATCCTCTACTTTCACATCTGCGACCAAAGCACTCTAAAAATAAAAAAGTAGACTTGTTCCGGAAGCGAAAGAGCTCTTGTATGGAGAAGAAATTGAGAATGATTTTTAAGCATGTTTTATGTAAGTGCCTTACATATTATGTTATTTTGGAATAATATACACCCCACATAAATTATCGCATCACTTATTAATTTGGAAAACTGCAAAGTATTCTTAAAAATTCTTTTGGTTAACAATAATCTCAAAAGTTATTTGCATTAATAGCAACTTGTTAAGGAATGGAAAGTATATCATAACTCAGGCAGACCTTAGATTTAAGTTTTTCACATAAAAATGTTTGAAGCGTTTCAACAATAAATACTACCAAAAATATAAGTGTTGCGAAATTTTTTGTGAGGTGTGTATTATGGTTTCCTTTGTTGAAGTTGAATACGTTTTTTTCGCGCATATTATCATATTATTTAATACTGTTAAAAGATATTTGCCACTTGTGTCGTTCTCTTTGAGTTTTGCAGTCTTATCTAATTTATCCCTGATTATTTGAATATTTAGGAATGTTGATTGAGTTTTGACATATTAGCGGGAGATAAATGATTGTTCGACAGTAATATGATAACGTTTTTGGTCCATAAGAGCTATAAACTCTTCGTAAATAAAAAAATATACCTGTACAGTCCTTTTATAAACCTTCGTAATTTTTGACCTTCCATTACGCTTTTTTACTTTTTCATCCTGTAGCAAAAATTCCTAGTCTTTTTGTCAAAAAATTTCAGCAAGAATAGTGATAACTGAAGAAAAATGCCAATGTCCCACTATTTTAGTTTTCGTTACACTGTGCTCCAGTTTATTCTTTAAACTGGGAGACTGAGCTGCGGACAATGCTACAACACAGCGGAAACCCTATTTCAAGCAAAATGCCGTTTAACCATTGTAACTTTCAAAAGTTGCAAAAATCTTAATTATATTATTAATTACTCAATTTGGTACCTTCAAATATTTGTAAACAAAATATGATATCGAATTTGACAATGACACAATCACATTTCTGCTGGTATTTTAATTGTAGCTTTCTCTGGGCCGTATTATAAATTTCACTAATTTGAAGGTAGATTTTTGCAAATAACTTTTAAATGACTGTTCCAAATGAAACGAAATTCTAGTCATAAGTACAACTTTAACGCCTTTTCAAAGAAGTCTAATACAACTTTTGCATATTATCTGGGGAGATAATGTTTGAGCTTTTTAAAAAAAATTACATGGGATTTCCTATGTCCCGTGTTCCGATGCACCACACGGTATAATTATATTAGGGGGTTTCTCGAATAAGTGATTCATATATACACCTTTTTGCTATTTTTTTAAAATAATTACTGAATATCTGGTAGAGATATTATTCACAACGGTTTGTGTTTAATCTTCTCAACGTAAAATTAACTGTCGGTTTTACAATATAATATGTTGAGAGAATCATTTCGTAAATTGAGATATCTATCTTAACGTTTTTGTGTTATTTGATGCATTGAAATGCAAACCGATCCAAATAATATCTAGGTTTATTAGGGCGCCTTCGAGGAGATCGTCATTTATCTTAGCGCCCGATCCGGATCGATTATCCATTATCAATTATCTGTTGGGATATTCCTGGATACTAATGAATCCGAAACCGGCAGTCACGATCACCTTGCCATCCTGCAGCTGTTTCCTACTGTAATTTGTTACAGTTTTGAAAGGTTCGAGTTTAATTATGACCTTTTGGGTATTGGAGAGAACATGGCTGTGACAAAAAGATCGGAAGTAGTTAGGTTCCAGTCGGAGTCAAAGAGTTTTTGTTAATATACAGGGTGTTGCAATATTCCGTAGACACAGCATTACCACGTATTATTAATTGCTGTAACGTGTTTGCAACTAGAGCGCAGTCATCAGCGTATTGAGAGAACTCTGTGATGAATTTTATACCTGTTTTTACCCCGAGTTTTCTTATGATGAACAGACCGCCGCACAGTGGTTTCGGCAATGGAAAAAAAAACAAAAAGTTGTTAAATCGGGTTTAAATTATCCTATCTTACATCGAGTTAGTTCAAAGACAATATAATAATATTACTTTTTTAATTTAATTACTAGTTTTGAATTTACAACACCTCGTTTTTGACAATTTTCTTAATATACGAAACGCGCAAAAATAAAGCGAAAACAAGTAATATTTTACAGCCCTTCTTTTAATTTCTAAAAATCGGTATTACCCAGGAACTGTTTCGTATATCCATGGGCATTAAAAGTAAAAAGCATTTTGCCAAAATATACCGTGCCTTTGATGCAGTTTAGTTTGAATCTATTTCTAATAAAATTACTTTACTTCTTACTTTAATCAGACTAGAACAAAAAAGCTTTACCGAGCTTTGGTCTCGGATTAATTTGACTAAAAAGAGCAACTGTTAAAGTAGTGATTCTATAGATTTTATCGCCACATTCGGCCACGTTTGTTAAAATTTTAAAATAAAAGATAAACAGTGTCAAAAAAATGAAAACTACATTCTTCATTTTTGCGGATGCCGATGAATTAATTTAATATAATTTACTTTTTTTGCCACTTTCATCATTATATTCTATAAGATTTAAATGTTATAAATTATAATAACTTGAACCACAGTGTAACTAAACTGAGCATCAATTGAAGCGTAAAGTGCAAATTTTTGCATTAAGTTTAACTGTAATTTTAATGTGTAATTATATTTTTTAAATTTTTGAAGGAATTTTGAATTTGCCAGCCAGATTCTAAAACATTGTTTTATCGACTATCGAAACGTTTTTGCAGTTTTTTTCAATTATTGTCAGGACTCATAATATAGGGTAAACAAAAATGTGCGCATTTTAACAAAATTTTAATTAAGCCTCATTTTGTGGAGGGATGGAGGAGATCCATTTTTGTGTGTAGTTTGAAGGAGGTGTTTTTATACCTCGACGTTTGAGTTTTTTGGCTATCGCTCCATTGCGATGTTTTCGATATTCTTATGATTGTCGGTAGAGTTTTAATACTAATAATTTTATCTCATTGTGAAATGAAGATATCGTATTTTTAAGCATTATGCATTTTAATGTAAAATAAAAAAAGCAAACAAATAATTTTATAAAACTAAAAAGTGTTACAGTTATACAGGGCGTTAAAAATTTATCTAGCTGGTATCTTTAAATTATATGGACCCGTATTCTGTAACTTTGAAAACGCTAAGCGCTTTTAGACGCTCAGCGTATATGACGTTAATTTTCGCTGAGCGCGCACTTAATTAACGATTTCGGTATTCTCGTCTGACGCGCTTAGCGTCTTTAATGATTGCGCTGAGCGCTTTGAAAACGGTTGCCTTAGTAGATCGTTTTGCTTGTCGAACTGTCAGTGAAAATCGAAAAAATTGTGATTTTGTGCGTTATCTTGTTCTTTAGTGAAAATTACTACTTCTTCTATAAATTCCTCAATAAGTAATTAATAATTTACGACTTGGCAGCTATAAATATTGTTCAAAACATCCAAAATGCTGAGAAGCATCTGAGAAGCGTCTTCAACACTTCCCTCGTATAATAAGAATAATGACATATCCATAGA